TTGCCGCAGCTTTTGGAGGCCGTGTTTGTGTGTGTGTGTGTGTTTGTGTGTGTGTGTGTGTGTGAGATATAGATAGATAGATAGATAGATAGATAGATAGATAGATAGATAGAGAGAGAGAGAGAGAGAGAGAGAGAGAGAGAGAGAGAGAGAGAGAGAGAGAGTGATGCAACATGCAGCATTTCAGTGGCGGGGAGCACAAGGGCAGGCACTAACCTCCAACAAAAAGAAGAAGTAATTTTATCGGAGTACAAAAGTTTTTCCTTTTCGAAATCCGAATAGAAAGGGTACAGTACAGGATGTATTCGAATACAATGTGTAGGACCTGCACCGTTTCAATTTTGAAAAATGACTACCCGCACCGTTTTAATTTCGAAAAAGGACTGCGGCCTTCTCGGCCTCCTACTCGCAGCTACCAGTCCTGGACCGCGCAGCTACCAGTCCTACGCGGTCCTGCGTGGTCCTGGCCCTTGCAAGGCCCCAAAACCAAAAAATGACCACCCTCCCGACGACCACCACGTTGAAATTTGACGTTGAACGTTGAATGTCTCAGGGGGGGGAAGCGCATCCCTGACGGGATGCGAATACGGATTGGGAGGATCCACCAAGAGTGTCGAAGGAGGCGATGGGGATTGAACCCACAATCTCCTGAATGCCACTTGCGTGCCTAACCAATTGAGTTAGGACGCTGGATGGAGCCCAAATTCTTCTATCACAGGAGGGGGGAGGAAAAAAAAACACTGAAAAACGAATAGCAAGCTATTGATTGAACCCACAACCTCCAGAATGCCACTTGCGTGCCTAACCAATTGAGTTAGGACGTTGGATGGAGCCCAAATTCTTCTATCACAAGAGAGGGCGGGGGGGGAAACACTAAAAAACGAATAGCAAGCTATTGAGGGTTGTACCACCCCACACGCGACCAGGAAAAATGGCATTTCAAGCTATAAACTACCAGCAGTGTATCTACCTTAGCTCTACTGGAAGATGCATGCTTATGTTGCACATTTGGCAAGTAGTGGAGCAACGCCCTCCATCTCGACAGCTATCGGGGCAAAGGTAAGTGCGTTTTTTTTTGTTTTTTTTCCGAAAGTCGATACGTTTTGTTTTTCTTTTTTTCTCTTAGTAAGCCCTGCCAACGAGGTAGGGCAATCCGTTCTATTTGATTATTTGGGAGTAGTAAACAACATAATGCTTCCATACTGTATTTTTGGGAAGATGCAGTAGAAGAGAAAAAAAACGAAAGGGGAATCAACCCAGACCCAAATCGTCTGCCCACACCCATATCTCCCACCCCAAGTATGTTGAACCTTGCCGAAACTCAAACTGTCGGGCGCTAACTTCTGTAACCTGCTTGGAGAAGAACACGAAATAAAGAAAAAAAAAAAAAAAAAAAAAAAAA